CCACAGTATCTGACGATGACGAAGTGTCGGTAGAATTCCCGGGTGGAAGTCTGCAGCAGCGCCACTAAACCCGGACAAGATGACCTCTGAGAAGAAGAAGCTGCAGCTATGGCTGCAGTACAAACCCCCGGGGACCCCACTCCGGAGGAGGGTCCAGCAGGGCACCATTTTCGCTCGCCTCCAGCAGACCTCGATAACCCAGACCTCTGTCAGCCCCTCCGTGCTGGCAGAGTACAGCGCAGGTCCCAGGTATGGCCGGCGCTTCGAAGGTCTGGCTATGCCTGTCTCCTTCCACGCTGAGCCGTCACCACTTCCGGTTCATGCGTAGCGCAGCAGCGATGTACGCGGTACCAACTGCCAAAAGCCCTGAACCGATGTGCCCAATCTATCTATAGACTACAACTAGCCTAGACTCGACCTAGACCGGACTGACTGACCGACCGGTACCGTTTCTGATTCGGCCTCTCGGCCTCTACCGGACCCGGCTATAGGCTATAGGACCGTCTATCAGAATAGGCCCTTGGGGCCTGTCTGTCCTAGGGTAGCCCGGGCCTGCTATACGCAGTTAGGGTCTCTGTAGGGAATCTGGTTAGTACCGGACCTGTATTTTCCCGGATTTGCAGACATTTCCCTCACGATTTTCCCTCACAGGTAGGTCTCTCGGTTAGCCCTCAGCCGAACAAATTACGAATCTGTCCTACCTAAAGTACAGCCTCGACAGAGAGAGGCTACAGGCGACCAGAAACAGCAAGTCATTGCAATTGTGGCTATGTAGGGGGTAAATGGCTAAGGGGGAGCCGGCTAGTGGGATCGTACCAGGACCAGGTGATAAGATGAGTTTCGTAGGACGGAGGAGGAGAGATGAGTTTGGCAAAAGGATGGAGTGAGGGGTGTGGAGAAGTGGGATGGAGGATCAGATCGGGTGGGGTGGTTGATAGTCTGATAATTAGTGGTAGGGGATATGGGTAGTGGAATGGTCAGTAAAAGAAGGAAGGATGTAGGTTTTGCCTCACTTGACGCAAAGTTACCTGGCTTGTGCCTTCTCTTGGGCAGCTTTGGTGGTCACATTCACTGTGGATAGACGTATTCGCCAACCTTTGTCGAAGATTTATCCCTGTCCAAAGCAGAAGTGGATTTGCCGCCTTCCCAAGTGGGTCGCCCACTGTTTCCCTTGACACGTAGAGGACTTCCCAGGGCCTGTTCCGCGCCTTTTCCGTAATTGGAAAGGCGGTTGGGTCCCTCGTAACTTTTTGCCTTTTTTCCTTTTGATTGCGAGTAGGGCCGAAACTTAGGAGGACCCAACAAGATCTTGCTGTCGCGTAGCTTGTTCGTAGTCTCCTGTCGCCTTCACCTCTCGCCTACCATAAACTCGTAGAGGATTATAATCCCTTAAAGATGCTATCCCAACGTGCGACTGATGAAAGGAACGGCTGGATAGTGAATCCCGCTTGACGTAGTGCCTCCTCCGTAACTATCTCGTAGTGGAAGCTAGGTACTAAGCTTTTTCTAGCTTCGACTCGTAGAAGAATCCACACCACATGTTGTAATCTCACCACTCGTGCTGGTATCGGATCTAGCCGCGTAGGTAGAGCTCCAAATATCCTTGCTCTCCCCTCTCTTTGTCGTCATTCCCACTCACCTCCTTGGTTCGTAGAGGATTCTCGGGCCGAGGAGATCAGTCTTCCCCTTCTTGCAACGGATGGTCCGATAGCTATTTCAGATAGGCGCTACAAAAATCACGTGAACACAGCTGAACATCTGCGACCTAGGCGCTGGGCAGCGCCACCTGCTACGTGGCGTGGCACCTCGCGTTTGCACCACTGCACTGCACATATTCCTAAGAAAAGAAAAACGAGAAAACAAAAGGAAAACGAGAAAACAAAAGAAGAACGAGAAAACAAAAGAAAAACGAGAAAACAAAAGAAAAACGAGACAACAGAGAAACCGTGACCCATAATTGTGATGCACAGACCCGAATTCGAATCCAGAGTATATATTCTCAGCGCACACAGACGAACTGGAAGTCTAATGGCTATCTCTGCTCCACGAGGCATCCTTGCTAATTTGTAGGGGCCCTTCGGAAATGAGACTGGACACAATTAGGACATGCACACACACACACACACACATGTGCTCCCAGTGTTGGTGTATGGGGTGGGCCCAACTTTTTGCCCTCTTGCAGTTTGATTTTCAGAAGAGAGGGGCATGTTTGGCCACCCCACCCTGTCCTTTCAATGTTTTTTTTTTTTTTTTGGACGATGTGCCGCATCACGTGTGTGCGCGTGCATGTGTGTGTGCCGCGACCCCGTGCACGGGATGCACTGCAAGTATGTGCAAAACTAAATTGGGACCGTGTCATCTATCATCAATCAAATAAAGAGGAAGAAGAAGAGATGAAGAATGAGAAGACAATAAAGCAGAGAAGAAGAAGAAGAAGAAGAAGAAGAAGAAGAAGAAGAAGAAGAAGAAGATGATGATGAAGACGGCGTCGGTGCCAAATTACGATTGAGGGACGGCCAATGCACAAGCAGGAGGCAAGGGAGATATTCTTCACATTGCTCGAAACGGATCTGAGGGCTCAGTGGAAAGCAGCAAGGAAGCAAATACGTTTCCGACCGGAGCAAGAGGAAGAGATAACAAAACTCTTTAATCACAACATTCTGGGCCAGGGAGCGGTGGCAACTATAAGTGGTAGTAATTTAAAGTTCAAATGAAGAGGGGCTTAAAAGGGTGCAAAGGAATATAAGTTAAGGGCTTAGGGTTTAAGAGGGAAATGAAAGTTAAAAAAGAAAAAAAAGAAAAAAAAAGAAAAAAAAAAAAAGAAAAGAAAAGAAAAGAAAAGAAAAGAAGAAGAAAAAGGAAGGGATTCAGGGTTATGATTCGAAGGAAGGGTTTAGAGGTTAAGGGTCATAGTCGGGTGAAAACAGAGAGTTTTTAGGGTAAAGGAGTGGAAAGATCTACCTCGTCGTTTTAGAATCAGTAAATCACGTTTGCAGTAAGACAGAGGGCTTAGGGTTTAGGGCTTAGACAGAAACGATGCAAATTATGTAATAGAGTTATAGAGACTTCAAAGCGCTCATAAGTGTTCCAGAAAGCTCTTGCATAACCATATCTACCCGACAGCTTCATAACTGAGAGGAGCAGATCTGGGATCAGACAGATTGGCAGGCAGAATTAGCACAGGCCAGATTAGGCAGGGGTGAGAGGGGGTATATCCTTCCTCAGGGAAGTAATCAATGCCGTCCTCTCGGGCCTCTCAGCCATAATGGGGAGGAGCGTGGGTGAGTCTTTTATGTATTCCATTTTGACTTGCCGGGGGAATAGGAACTGGACTGTCGCTCCCCAGAATGGTAGGAGCCAGAACTGTGAGGTTYTGTYTGACGCTCAAAAAAAAAAAAAAAAAAAAAAAAAAGAATAAGAATAAAAAGACAACGAAGAAGAAGAAAAAGAAGAAGAAGAAGAAGAAGAAGAAGAAGAAGAAGAAGAAGAGCATAAGGTAGACAAAATGCCACCTCCCTTCTTCTCTCCACCTCCATCACCATAGTCATCGTTCCTCACAAGCTCCTTGTCTTCGATTATAAAATAAAGTACCAATTGATACATTAATGAATGAATGAGCAAGAATGAATGTCCAAAGATCTCCCTTACTGTCTGCTGGAGGACTTCCCCGTCCAGGCTTCTCTCTCGCTTTGTAGTACACCTAACTGAGCTGGTAGCTAAGGCGGATCATCCAGGTAAATGCCCAGGTGTTCAATGGACAACGGAGTACTTCTATGTCTTTCCCGCCGTGTGCCGCCATAGCCACTCTTCATGGATGAAGTCCGAGGCCATCCTTTCCCCTCCTGGGGTTTTCCAGACGCAGTGCCAGCCAGGTAAGTGAAGATGAAGCTCCACCATAGCCCAAGGTAACTCCTTCGCTCGGTTCCCTCCTTCGTTCTCCTTCTCTCACCTTCTTCTCTCTCCTCCCAACTTCATGGCCCAGCTTGGTCTTGTAATACTACTCTCTATCTGGCTAGGCTGTTCTCCTCATCTCCGCCGTATCCAGAGAGCTCTCACTGTCACCCTCAAGCTCCTACCTCCAAATAGCTCCACCACTTCTCCCTCTTGACGGAGCAGCAGCCTTGCTGCTGCTGTGTTTCCAAAGAGGACTTCAGTTGCTCATTTCACTAAATAACATACTCTCAGCTACTTGAACTACAGTAACTTTCGGCCCAGCTATAGTAACTTCTGGTCGGCCCCACCTGTCCTTGGTTACGTTCCTTGAGTGAACTGGGACTACTGGAAAATTCCTGTCTTTGGCGGGATCATTATTGTAGCCTGCAGCTACCGCCAGGGCCTGAATCTAACCTAATACCAGTCTATACCAGGTCCTGGACAATTATCATTTTTTGGAAGCTACTGGAGTTCCCCTGCCTCACCTACCTGGGCCTACCCGAGTTGCTGAAAAATACCGAACGGGTCCTTGACAAATCTATGACTACACCTAGCCTTCTAGAATTTCTCGTAAGTCCCTCTGTCACCAAATTTCAAGATTGCACATGTGTCTACACGTATTGGTAGTTCTACGCCTGTCCGAGATACAGAAACACAGCATGGACCACAGAGTTGGCATGGGGACACAGACAAGCACACATCATCAGCAGGTCATACACACTCAGAAAACACAGCAAAATAGACTCAGACTCGTCAATCTCATCAAACGGGTGAAAGACACCAACTCTTTTCAGAAAATACAGATATATCAGTCTAAAACTGGGGAGATCATGGCGATGGAAACGGATTGACGTCACAAACTGACAGAAATAACGAACCATGAACTTCCTTCCGTTAGAGAATGGCATTACTCAAGCTGGTCAATAAGCAAATGGATGAGATGGACAATGTGGGCTCTCGTTCTTCATCGAACCTGTTCTCCATTCAGTCATAAGCCAGTTGCTTATGGAACTGAGCATCCAAGTAATAGGAATTTGTAATCTGTGCTTGTCTCGTGAACTGTATAGGGAAATGATTCAAGCATCCTTAGTAGTGCAAGAGAAGCCAGAAGACCTTCAGTCAGGGGAAAGTGTGGAGGTAAAGTCTGAAAGCATAAGCTCATTTCTATTTATTGCCTCCAAGTCCAATCTGTTGAGTGAAACAAAATCTCCCACTCCACAAGGTTGACCAGTTTAAGGTTGGACTGGATTGCCTTCAGTTGCCTCAGGTTTATTAGTGCCTCAATTGGAAGAGTATATGATGTAAGAAAAGACATTCAATAATGGTCTTTGATGCCGATGGCGTGAAAGAAGATCTTTATCCCCTTCTTTTTTAGCAGATTCTACCCCTGGATCATGCAATCTGTTTTGCTATTTTCAGACACCGAATCTTCATTTCTCTCCGACAATCCTGATCCTTTATCCCCTATCTGGACAATTTATGCTCTCTCTCTCTCTCTCTCTCTCTCTCTCTCTCTCTCTCTCTCTCTCTCTCTCTTCGCCCCCTTGCCCCCTATATCTGCTTGTAACTCCCTCCCCCTTAACTTCCCAAATGGAGGAATTTGCATAGTGCCCACCCGCTCCCACTTTGCTTTACTCCGCCGCTGACCACCTGAAGAACAGCTTGATAGTTGTCAACCATAGTCCATGTCTATCTTTAGAGATGGCCTCGCCTTCTCACAACACTTAACTCCACCTGGCGCAATGTCTGTGGAAACAGGCTCTGAATGGTTTTTGTGTGTGTGTGTGTGTGTGTGTGTGTGTGTGTGTGTGTGTGTGTGTGTGTGTGTGTGTGTGTG